TGAACCGCATAGCCAGCTTCTCTCGGTGTGAGAAGCTTTACTTTCCCGTCCCTTAACTAAACATAGGGAAACATCAAAGAGTTAATGGTCTATTATGATGAACGAGAAAATCAAGCACGTTGAATTATCAGTCCAAGAATACTGATCAAACGGCCGAACGAAATCCCGGGCAAGAGGAGATTTTTCATGTAATATAAAAGAAAACGAAATTACCAAAGCATCCCATCGCTTCTTAGCAGCAGCCATATCTCTCATTTGCTTCAAATCAATATCTTCATCTACAGCTTGCATCCAAACAGGACCCAGTCGCTAATTTCAATTGAAAAACACCACACTCCAATCAAGATTTAGTCTTTTTCATAGGAAATCAGAAGATTATTGAAGAAACTAGTCACCCAACCGAACCCTTTTCCCACTGACCAAGAGTATATAAGAGACACGAAAAGAACAAAATCCAGAACATAACATGTATCAACAGTCATTCTATAAATTCATAGGCTTCAGATCCGATTCTCTCTTCGTTTTTTCATCAACCAAACACAACCAGGAACAAAATCCCGAAAAACTTAGAAATCCATGAAAGCAGTGGAACTGCTAACATACGCAGCGACGAACAGTGGTAGAAATAGGCCTGCCTCCGAAAAGCAGAGACTTGGAACACGCCATGGAAGATAACTTCGTGGTCTGTTCTCTGAGGAGAATAGAACGAGAAACTGGGAGAATGTTTACAGAGGGAAGAGCCAAAGACTCCATTTTCAAGGCGAAACGTTCTAAGATTTTGCAGCGATCCTCTCTAATAGCGTAGAGGAGGAGAGAGAAATCCAAAGCATAGAGAGAGATGCTTTCCCTATCTAACTTGGTATCCTTGGTCTGTTGCATCCATAAAAAAAAAAATTGGCGATAAAACTTTCGGTTTTCGGTTCGGCTATAAAACTTTCGGTTTTCGGTTCGTATACAAATGGTTCGGTTAAGAAACAACACTATCGATTTTATAAATTGTGTAAAAGTAGAACCAAATGTTACACTACTATTCATCCAGTTTGAAACGGAAAATTTACATGTATAAATCGTCTTGAAAACATTGAAAAAAAAATAGAAGTTATCAACATGGATAATTCCGTGTGATATCGGAAAATTGCCATGTATGATATCATATGCCATATCGTTGGTTGAGTTTAAAAACAAATAAAATTTATAAAGTTTGGGTTTTATACGAAATAAAAAAAAAGGTTTTTTTTTTTTTAAATTGAAAAGTTCATTCTTTTGGGATTTTTTTTTTAAATAGACAGGTTTGCTCGATCGTTGGCGGAAATCCGACCAGTTTTGGATGTTCTTCGTCATGGACGTGACCATCTTCGATCCTGTAATCTTCAATTCTTATGCTGTTGTGAATTTTCGTTTCCCTCCTATTCCTTGATTTTGAATTACTTATTCTTCGATTTTTCCATGCCCTAGGACTTGATTCACTCCATTTTCAAGCACATTTGGGCTCGACGATTTCGCAGTATCTGTCACGAATTCGTTCGTCTCTTTTGCATCTATTTGTTTCGATTTCTCAATTCACATTCATGCTTCGATTGCAGGACGGGAGAATAACGATGTCACAGATGCTGCAGAAGCCGAGGTATTCGGCTTCAAATTTCGAATTCCTGAACTTTAAAACGTTCTTGCTGTGTTTCGTCCATTGTAGATTTGTAGGACGTCTTTCTGAACCATGTAATTGCACTCAAGAAGCTCCATTCACATAGCATTAGATGTTTTGTGTATGTAGAGCATATAATAGTAATGATTGGTGATGAACTCGCTTTATATTTTTTGCAGGTTGTTCCTGGAACATCTAAGAAGAACAGACCCACTTCTGGTTTGTGAATCTGATGTTTGTCCAGTTGCAGCTTGAGTAATGTCCGAAGCAGCATGACTAATGATGATTGATGAATGTCTCACGATATGATTTGCTTGTTTATTGTTCTTGCAGCTAATGCAAATGCCCTGAAGCTCAGTTGTGAGCTGCTCAAGAATTTCATCACAGGTACCAGCCACCTGTTCGGTATTTTGGGTTCGCAAACTCGATGGTTTCGGTTCCTGATGATTGTGCCTTATCCACTTGACAGAGGCCATGCAGCGAGCTGCTATGATTGCCGAAGCCGAGGGCATGGAGAAGATTGAACCTACACATTTGGAGAGGATTCTTCCCCAGCTTCTTTTGGACTTTTAAGGTAGTGATACGATATCTTCAATTTTCTTGGTCTTGATGTGTTTTTCCTCCGTGCTAATCTCAAGTGTGAAGTTAGGAAATCTGATATCGATATATTCTTGAATTTTTTTGCTTGTTTGTTTGTTTGTTTCACCAGTTTCATGAATCTTAGTCTTGTACTCGTGTAAATATTCCAGCCTCTTTAGATCAATGATGCAAATACACCAGAAGAAAGAAATACTTGTCTTGGATCAGTTGTGTTCTCATGAATGCCG